CAAAAGTAAATAGAAGAAATCCTAGCTGAGATAAAATTTCACTCAATTTAAATGAGTATAAAACTATAGTATTATCAATTTTCTATTGGCGGATTTCATTAACTTCTTTTGCAACCTTTTAATTGCGTTCTTAGAAATTACATCACGTTCATTATTATTTATAAGTTATCATTAATTCGAACAAATAAAATCTTGAGTAAATAATCACAAACTATTGACAGTAAATTTCTAAAATAAATTGGCGGATTTCATTGACTTCTTTTGCAACCTTTTAATTGCATTCTTAGAAAATACATCACGTTCATTATTATTTATAAGTTATCATTAATTCGAACAAATAAAATCTTGAGTAAATAATCACAAACTATTGATAGTAAATTTCTAAAATAAATATACAGTGGAAAATCGCTTAACGTTTCAAAATTTCCGGATTTTTACTCGTATAGTGAAACACGTTTTCCCATATAAACTAATGTAAATTACGATAATGCGTTCCTTGCCGGGAGAAAAATGTGTAACTTGGTCACGATTTTCATATCTATAGTTATTTTTATTCTTTGGCGTTTTATTTAGAGACATGCAAGTTTTTAACAAAAGTTTGCTTAGTTGGCGTTAATATATTTGTTTATGAAAAAAAAACAAAAGTTGTTTCTCAATTTGTTAAAGTTTAACGATATTTCATGCCAAATTTCAAGAAGATCGGTAAGAATGGATAGGAGAAAATGCAAGATTAGTGATGTAATGTTGGTAGAAATTCCAGCACCAACACAGCAAAAAATTGTTTCATCATTCTCTACGGATTTCGACGTCTACTCAAGCTTAAGAATGTCAAAATTCATATGGAGTAAATTCATCATTCCTTATGACCATTTCCAATTGGTTTCGAAGATTCCAAACATTTTTTCTGTTGAACGAACAAGTTTTCAAAAATTTGTTGGGAAACCAGAAAAAAAGGGGACTTCTCTTCTCACAATTCGTTAAACGAGGTTCCACTATATATAGAAAATATTTACAATATTTGTAAACAAAAAATACTATATAGATTATCGAAACTGCGGAGAGTGAAATGAAACAATATTTGTGAATAATTTTAAAAATTGCAATTAAAACATCCAAAAAACAGATATTTCCAATTAGCAGTGCAAATGACAAAAAAAACAAAACAAACAAACGTATTTTATTTTTGAAAACCGAAAAAAAGCAGTAACGAATGCGTTTTAAAAAAATGGTATAATTATGAAGCAAACAAAATAGAATGGAAAACGCAGAGGATTTTTTGAATGGGCGACGCTCCATTAAGTCTATGCTTTGGGATCGAATGAAATTTAATGATAATGTTTTGATTTAATTTGCTCGCAACGTACATAAATCACTTTTTCGCCGTGTAATTCGAATGATGCGTAAACAGAGAATTACGAATTTGAAATGCGAGAATATCGAAAATACCAAATGTATGGATGAAAACAAGCCAATTTTGAATTTACTAAATTTCCTAAATAATTTACTATTTGTATATTAAAATACACGTATTTCGAATGATTTATTGAATGGAAAATATTTGTATGAATACAACAACAAAATAAAATTAACAATTGTTAATTAGAAATTTGAATAAATCAATCATCAAAGAAATGTTTATATAAACTAATTTAACTGAATATTTCATAATTATATAAATAATTAAAAAAAAAAATGATTTATTAAAGTGCAGACATCAATCATTAAATTTGAATGTATTTACTTAAGATGTGTAATAAATTTCGCTCTATATTTGCGTGAAACAATATTTTAATTAAAATTTTAATTATTATTTTGGCACAAAAATGGTTTTCGAAATCAATGTCGAACTTCTGCCATTCATTCGAAATCTGTTAATGGATTTGGGTGGCAACAATGCTTCATTCATGGCTAAGAACTATTTTCAAGGGTTGCTCATTACGTGGAACAAATGCAAATATTCAAATTAGTTTCTAAAATTATTTTGAATTTACTAAATTTCCTAAATAATTTACTATTTGTATATGTATTTTATGTATTTGGAATGATTTATTGAATGGAAAATATTTGTACAAATACAACAACAAAATAAAATTAACAATTGTTAATTAGAAATTTGAATAAATCAATCATCAAAGAAATGTTTATATAAACTAATTTAACTGAATATTTCATAATTATATAAATAATTAAAAAAAAATAATGATTTATTAAAGTGCAGACATCAATCATTAAATTTGAATGTATTTACTTAAGATGTGTAATAAATTTCGAATAAATCATACGAGTCGGTATAAATTAATTATACAAAAATAATAATAACAAGAGCAAAAAAGAAAAAGAAAACGTTTGATATGAATTAAGCAACATAAATATTTCATGAGGCGATTGCGGTTCGCTTTCTTTTATAGGTGTTATCTTAATGTGTAAATTAAGGCCTAATGAAATTTGCATGCGAAACTGCAACTAGGCGAATGGTGAAATGTACAGAGAAAGAAAAAACGAGAATGGGCGGAGGAGTCGTTAATCTTTTCTCGCCCTTTTCGCCGCGTCGAATCGCATTCGCGAGCAATTAGCATGTGAAGGCGTCGTTTAATTAACCGTTTTTTTTTTCCGTTGTTCGAATTACTGGGGAGAGTTTAAATTCACGCGCAATCATCAGATATAAAAAGATTAGAGTTAACCTGAGGTTAAGCAATTAAGAGGTATAGGATTGGTGGTAGACTGACCTGTCCTCGATTGATGAAGTCGTGACGACCGGCGACGTCGTCTGCGTCCCCGTCCGGGATGTGAACGGCGAACTCGTTGTTGTAGATCGCAGAGGGTCGGGCCGAACCGTCCGTGGCCACGACCACGAGCACCAGCAGACTGCACAATTTCACTAAAACCATAATATCCGAAGATATTTCCAAATCTCAAGAGATTATCAAGATCGGAACGGAGAAACAGATTTTTTTGCTCTAATTAGAAAGAAGGAAGGCGCGAAAATCCTCGCAGGATCATAGACGGCGACCTGAAACAAAACAAAAGTACACATTTAGAGAAAGATTCGAATTGCGAAATTTATAAATTCGGTTTACGTAATAGAAATTCTACAGCAATTTGTGTATTCATTTTTGATTATTTATGATCAAGCTACAAAGTTACAAAATTTTAACTTACCTCGTAAAATTGAAACATGCAAACAAATAATCATCGGAGATCGAAATCTACATATAATTAATTAAAAATCGTTTAATTTCAAATTAATTTCATAACTGTACAACTTACAAAAAATGTTTTTTTTCTTCTTTGATTTTACTCAATTACATCGTTTTCTGTCAAAAATTGTTTACTATTTACAAAAGACTAACGCGTTTATAAATAAAAGCGAATGCTGTGCCGACAAATCTACCAAAGTTATGTAACTAAAATAACCATAAACGTCACCTGTCAAATTTGATTTCACACGTGAAAATTGTTTATTATTACCCAAATTTCCCAAACGTAAAATCAATAAAATAACCAGAAATGTCAAATTTGAAATTACGCATTCATGAAAACGCTCTAGTTATATTAAATATTTGCGTGAAACAATATTTTAATAAAAATTTAGTTATTATTTTTGGCACAAAAATGGTTTTCGAAATCAATGTCGAACTACTTCTGCCATTCATTCGAAATCTGTTAATGGATTTGGGTGGCAACAATTCATGGCCGAGAACTATTTTCAAGGGTAGCTCATTACGTGGAACAAAGGCAAATATTCGAATTAGTTTCTAAAATCTAATCATAAAAATTAGGATATTAACGTGTCACAAAATTTACTGTAAATTTTACAGTTTTATTCATTAAATATTTATCTTTAATTATTGCATTCAATGATTAATACAACTACCGTAGTTTTTGAGATATAAGCAAAAATCTAAGGCCACAATTTTTCCGACTATTACCAAAATATTTGTTTTTAATTTGAGAATAAATTGCAGATAAACAAAGGATTTCACCAATATGCTTTTACACTCATTTTATATTGAATATTTAGCTTTAATTTATGTATTCAATCATTATTCTACCTAACCTACTTTTCGAGATATAAGCACAAAAATAAGGAGATTACATTTTCAATGGTTATAAAAAAATATTGTTTCAAAATATATTAACGTGTCACAACATTTACTGTAAATTACAGTTTTATTCATTCAATATTTATCTTTAATTATTGCATTCAATGATTAATATATCTACCGTAGTTTTTGAGATATAAGCAAAAATCTAAAGCCACAACTTTTCCGACTGTTACCAAAATATTTTTTTTTAATTTGAGAATAAATTACAGATAAACAAAGGATTTGACCAATATGCTTTTACACTCATTTTATATTGAACATTTAGCTTTAATTCATATATTCAATCATTATTCTACCTCTCCTACTTTTCGAGATATAAGCACAAAACTAAGGAGACTACATTTTCAATGGTTATAAAAAAAATGTTGTTTCAAGATGTATTAACGTGTCGCAACATTTACTGTAAATTACAGTTTTATTCATTAAATATTTATCTTTAATTATTGCATTCAATGATTAATACAACTACCATAATTTTTGAGATATAAGCAAAAATCTAAAGCCACAATTTTTCCAACTGTTACCAAAATATTTGTTTTTAATTTGAGAATAAATTACAGATAAACAAAGGATTTGACTAATATGCTTTTATATTGAATATTTACCTTTAATTTATGTATTCAATCATTATTCCATCTATCCAACCTTTCGAGATATAAACACAAAACTATATTTTCAATGGTTATAAAAAATGTTGTTTCAAATTTGACATTAAATTACAGAAAATCCAAGAGAGTTACATACATGCAAATACACTCGTTTTATTCCTTGTACATTTAACTTTAATTTGTGTATTTCATTGTTAGTCCATTTATCCTTGTTTACGAGATATGAGCAAAAATCAAATGAAACTTTGTTTCAACTTTGACAGTAAATTGTATGTAAATCACAAACTTTGGAAACATTTAACTGCAGTCATTTTATACCCTATATTTGTAACTTTAATTTGCATATACTACCATCAATCTGGCTTTCACGGTTATCGAGAAATTGGATAAAATCTAAAGGTTAAACATCGGATGGGATCGAATTATGCGTAAAGAGCACGCACATCCAACCGCTCGGAATTGGTATCTGACCCTACCCTGACGTAAGAGGAGACCGTGCAGCGGATAATGCTCGGATTAGTGCCCTTTGCCATCCGAGGACGAACAGAGACAAATGACTACATTTTAAACAAGGCCACCGCGACAACTCATACCAAAGAAAACACACACACACACATGATATAACCACAGGTTTAGGTTGAAAGACAAAGATAAACACAAATGGAACTGAAAAGAAATCCCTTACAAGTAAATATTATTCAACGCTATTTCCATTTAACGTTAGGTAAAAGCCCTTCGCATAATTATTCGAGTGGTGAAATTAATTAAGATTAGTGGCGTGTACAACTGATCTTGAAGTTGACGCTGCTTCTGGCAGACAAATACGTACGTACACACATCTAGCGTATTTGTGTGCATGAATTAAGGGTAAATTATGTAAACTGTTGTTATCGTGACGGCGTATTGTTGCCCTTATGGCTCGTGCAGTAAATGCGCGACGGCACCCTTAAGCAACGCAGAAACAGATAGTAATAACGGCAATAAAGTTATCTGAACGCAGAGAGACACAATCTTTGTGGGGGGATCTAACATCATCCTTAATGCACCCTCGTTTCTCTAAAACAAAAGCAACAAAAAAACAAAACAAAGTGAAAACAAAAACAATAGAAATTGAAAATCCCTTTGTTCTGCACACTTGAATACAAAATCCTTGAAGCGTTTCAATACTTTATGCAATATTATAAACTAACGTGTTTCAATTTCTGACGGTCATTCGGAAAGCAACAAAAGTGCAATGTTTTAGGTCACGATGATTACGAAGCAAATGCACAGTTCACCTCAAGGCTTTCCCCACATTCAATTACATAACTCACTTTCCGACTCGAGCAAACACACATACAAACACACAGAGATAATTCCATTCTTGCCTGGGCATAAAGGAAACAATAATTTTCCAATTACCAGCTTCATTATTTTCCCAAAAAAAGGTTATTTCGTCCTTTTGTACTCTGAATCTCCTGCATCCTCGCAACTACATTTTTTTTTTTTACAAATTCCCTTTTCTCACGGAAGTCGGCTATTTGCGTAAGGACAAAGCGTAATTAATTGATTCGTGATTCATGAGGAAACATATATATCTAAGAAAAAAAGAGAAAAAGAAAAGAAACACTCCATGATACACCCCAAATAAACACGCGATCCGTTGATTTGTCAAATTACGCTTTCATTACATTTGTTCGTGCACATTAAGTTAATTCTTTCCAAACCCCTAAAAATATATACATATATAAAGGGACGAACAGTTTAATTTCGTCAAATATAATAATTTTCGTGTTCCTAAATAATTAATATTAATATCACCATCACCCCAACCAATTTCCTTTCACTTGGAAGTAGTAATGCCATCAATGTTCATTATGCATACTGAAATAACACCTCAATTCCAACAAAACTCAAACTCATTTTACATCATATATATTTATCTTTTAGTGGTGCAGTCAATCATCATTCTACCTTTCATACTTTTTAAGATATTAACAAAAACATTCCTTCAATTTTGATAATAAATTACAAGAAATCCAAGAGCATCACAAACATGCAACTATACTCATTTTATTCCCTATATATTAAGCTTTAATTAATGCATTAAATCATTTTCCACCCATCCTACTTTCCGAGTTATAAGCAAAAATCTTTGTACCCTTCGAACAAAAAACTTCAATTTCAATAATAAATTACAAGAAAACGAAGAGCATCACAAATATGCAACTATACTCATTTTATTCCCTATATATTAAGCTTTAATTAATATATTAAATCATTTTTTCACCTATCCTACTTTCCGAGTTATTAGCAAAAATCTAAAGATGCTACTTTGTACGCTTCGAACAAAAAACTTCAATTTCAATAATAAATTACAAGAAAGCGAAAAGCATCACTAATATGCACGTATACTCATTAAAATCCTTGAATCCTCAGCTTTAATTAGTCTCACAAATAATTATTCCATCCATTCTATTTTTTGCAAAATTTTGCTTTATCGACTTTCCTTCAAATTTGATAATAAATTACAAGAAATCCAAGAGCATCACAAACATGCAACTATACTCATTTTATTCCGTATATATTAAGCTTTAATTAATGTATTAAATCATTCTTCCATCTATCCTACTTTCTGAGTTATTAGCAAAAATCTAAAGATGCTACTTTGTACGCTTCGAACAAAAAACTTCAATTTCAATAATAAATTACAAGAAAACGAAGAGCATCACAAATATGCAACTATACTCATTTTATTCCGTATATATTAAGCTTTAATTAATGTATTAAATCATTCTTCCATCCATCCTACTTTCCGAGTTATCAGCAAAAATCTAAAGATACTACTTTGTACCCTTCGAACAAAAAACTTCAATTTCAATAATAAATTACAAGAAAGCGAAAAGCATCACTAATATGCACATTAAAATCCTTGAATCCTCAGGTTTAATTAGCGTCACAAATAATTATTCCACCCATTCTATTTTTCGAGTTCTAAACAAAATTATGAATGATTAAATTAAAAAAAAATGCAATCTTAACTTTGAAATCAAATTACAGTCAAACCAAAAATGCCACAAATAAACATATACACTCGTTCCATTCCTTATACATTCAGCTTTAATTCAAGTGTTCAATCATTATTATCGAGCAAAAAAAAAATCTATTATTCTCGATGTTATTAAGTCGACTCTCGTATTCAAAACGCGGCATTATTTTCAAATAACAATTTCTTTTTAATATATTCCAGAGCTCGCTCTAATAAAACAAACTATCGATTCAACGTATAACGACCCATTTACATACATTTAG